ATGTATGATTTTAATTTAATGCCAAAGGTTTAGCCAAAGACATCCTTACTGTAGTTTCACCATTTCTGTACATAAATGCTAACTGCACACCCCACCCCAGCAACCAAGATATAGGCTTCTTTCTAGTTGGGAGATGCTGCTCGTGACATTTTATCCCAGGAGGATACTTTGGGTTTGTAGTTCTCTTACCAGTCTTATTTGGGGGRAATAGGTGGTCTGTCTTTGAAATATTGAACCCTTTTTAAAAATGGACAAGAGAAATGTATAATTTTATCCCATTTTTAATATTTTGGTGTAGCAACTTGTGATACATAGATGACAATTTTGTGAGTTTTACTATGTGTGTACAGATTTTGTAAATACGACATTTTTGTAATTTTAACTCCATGTACAGCGTAATCCTGTATAGTTTATCGACGAATGAGAGATAGGAAATAGAGTGTTACTGCAGTTTTGGATCCTGGACCAGTAGCAGGGATAAATGTGGTGTGCGTGAGACTTTCTTTGCCATTTAGTCTTCCTGTATACTGTGATATTCTAAACTGTTTTGCTAAAACAAACGGACAAAAAAAAAAAAAAAAAAGCCCCATTGAGAATCTAATGAATAAGGAAAAAGTTATTGTTTGCCTTTATCCCTAGGTGTCACTCCTGTTGAATCCCTGTTCAATCTGTGCTGTCTCCTGTGATCATTGCTTGCTAAGAAAATTCTATGCCTCAATCTCCCCTTTGTTTCCTCTCTAATTTTAATTTCATTTTACATACCCCTTCTGTAAATTGGATGGAATAATAATGAGCATGTACACTGAAAGAAAAATAAAATGAGACTCTCAGTTACTGTTTTTGTGTTAAATACAGTTGCTGGGTGCTTTTGTTAAAAAAAAAAAAGAAAATCCTGGATGTTCTTGCCTTTTTTTTTCTTTTCCTTACCAATTAGTCCTTTTTGTTTTACCATCTTTCAGTTGTTACATTCAAGGTACCTTAATAGTTCTCCTCCTTTTACAGGCAATATAGCATGTCCTGCAAAGAAGCAGTATAAGAAATAGCCTAACTCGCAGTCTGTTCCACAGCAGACATTGAAGCGTGCTAGAAAAACTTGCCCTGAAACAGGAGAGTCTAACAAGTATGGTAAATAACTCYGTGGGTTTTCTTTCTTGTATTTTAAAATATGGTCGTTATAACTGGCTCAGCTTTGGGGTATTTTGTTAAAATTGAGCAAGCTTCAAAGAGCTTGAGTGGTAACAGGGTAACGAGAGATGATAGATTGCTGCTGTGGTAAGTGTACAAGGCCTCGTTTCTCATCCTGGTGTTTGGACCTCAAGGTGCTTTAGCAGGAAAGCATGGAAAGCTTTCCCTAAAGTAGCTTAGAGATTAATGCAGGCTACAGGAAATGACATTCCCACTCCTGTTTCTCCTGTGRTGGCCGTGTAGCTCTGGGCAAGGCATTAAACTCTCCATACTTGAGCTCATCCTTCACTTTGGGAACTTACTGATCACCAGATTTGTCTCAAACTGCTCGTGGAGAGTTTTTTGATCCCTGAATTTTGTACTTGTTGCTGGCCTGTGACAATAGTACTGTTAATTGTTTTAATTAACGCTGATCAAATCTTTGCAGCTAATCCAGAGTCTTTAGCAGAAGAGGAAGACAAGTTATTGGCAGGATGGCTGCACAAATGCCTCCTGGYATCCTGCTCTGAAGGAGACTTGGTCATGTTCTTCACAAGGATGAGGTCAGGACTGCTGCCATAGCATCAGCCTCCACACTAAGGACAGAAAGCCAGCAGTTAGCCAGAGGTATTTAACAGCTTCAGTGGCTCCCAGCTGCACTTGCAAACCTCTGGTGAGTCAGACAAAATATTGTAGATAATTAAATCTGCTATGGTGTGCTGTCTTAAATAACCCAGACACTTCTGTAGGTCAATCTTGAGGCGTGGMAGAAATCTGGCTCGGTTTAAAAGCATTACTGCTCAGTCTGTAAGGAGAAAGCAGTGTGTTGCATCATCACTATGAGTAAGACAAATGATGGGGTCATTCCCATATGCAGCCTCTTTTTTTGCCAGTGATTTTCTCTTATAAAATGTCAGGTTTGGTTTCTTCCATTAGAGGCTCATCATGATACCTCTGTCCTCCTTGGTTAAACATTTTTAAAGAGTCCTTTGCTGCTCTGTAGAACCGAACTGAAGGAGTCTTCAAAGACTCAGATCTGTCTTTAGGAAGTGAAAGCACGCAGCCCATTTTGGAAGGGGTCTCTGAGAACCCCTTTCTGCTTGGAGCTCCCCAGCACTTTGAAGGATTGTCCCTGGGACCTGTTTAATGTGTCACCTGCCCCTTGATCTTAAAAAGAAAGTGGGGGAGCCCGGGACAATGGCTTTTAGGGCAGCAATCAGGGGCCAGGACAAGGCTGTGGTGTCTGAAGGAAGACACRTTGCTCCTCTTCCTCCCCAAGCCCCATTGGAGCCTCCAGCAGCTCCCCTGCGGATACTGCGTCGGTGCCACGTGGGTGCTGGCCTGTCCCTCCTGTTTCACRTCGTAAAATTCTCCTTTGATACTACACACTAAGTAGAACTGCATTTTTAATAAAAGAACTTGTGCCTGAATTCCTTTTTGGTGTGTGTCTCTTCACTTTGCATACAAGAGCACGTGTGTGTGAGAGTCTGCCTGCCTCACTGGAATACAGCAGTATATTCCTTGGTATTTCATTTGCCTACATGTAGAACCCCCTAATCTCATACCTCTCTTTCTGAGGGTAAAGCTGGCCAGGCTTCCTATATTCCTTAAGCCTCCAAGGAGTCCCTGAGCTCCTGTTGGTGTTATGGGCAGTGCCGTGTAGAGCAATAGTGCTGAACAGTGCTAGGAACTCACCAGAAATGCAGTTGCTCTCAAGAAAACCCAATTTTCTATTGCCAGGAACCACTTCTAAAAAGGTTTGTGGTTTTGTCCAAATAGGACATTTGGGCAGTGTGTTGAAAGTGCCCCTGCACTTGSAATTGTTCCTGTTGCAGAATTCCCACCCGAGTCATTAAAGCCGCATCTTTCGGGCAGCTCGGCCTTGCTGCAAGAGGGTGATCCATCATTCCTGGGCTCTGGCCCGAGGTGGGAGCCCAGCTGGTGGTCCCCAAAGGGACACTGAGGGTGCTGGCACCTCCTCTCACTGGCTGGGCCTGCAGGAGCTAGGAGCAGCTTGTGAAGCTGCTTGGTGTGGCTTTGGGTTTGTCTGGTGGCACCAGATGGAGGTGGGAGTAAATCTGTGTGTGTGAAAAGCTGCAGCTCTTTGCTTGCTTTAGGGCACTTGGATCAGCACCAGCATGTCAAAAACGGCAGTGCTTCATGCAAGTCAATTGCAGTTTGATTTCTTGGAGTTCATGGTGTTTTTTTGGTGTTTTCATGCCAAAAAGCATCTTCTGCTGCAGCTCGGCAGGTACAGCCTTTGTCTCACAGGTACCTTCCTGTGCAATTTTACCTCCTTTCCCCGTCCTCTTCTCTGGCTGCTGCTGTCAGGAACAACTTGGCACAGCAGCTGCAATCAAATAACCACTTYTGCCCACTCTTCAGGCAGGCAAACGTGCACCTTTTCATGATGTGCAAATGCTGATGGCTGCAAAGAGCGTGAAAGGTAAGCTGGGATTTGCAGAGCAGATCACTTAGGGGTGTGAAGGTGGTGTCACAACATTAACCCCAGTGCTGGACCAGATTTTAATGCTTTAATGTAACCCCCAGGGCCTCGGGCAGCCTTTGCTGAGCACCTGGATGGCTTTGCGTTTGTCCTGGCCTCAGCACTGGGCTTGTCCAAGGGACTGGAGCTGTGGGAAGGGGCCCAGGATCTCTTAAGCTCTGTCTTTGCAAGGCTGGTAATGGACTCTTCAGGACTGCTGGGGGAGCTGTTGGCTCTCCTTGGAAGGAGCCTTCCTCAAAGAGCTCCTCCTTCACTTGCCTTTCCCTTTTTATTTCCATTTGCATCAACTTCACTGTTTTGCTATGCCTGAGAAAAATAACTTAGCAGGCTCTATGCATGTGTTTTTCTTATGGGCTGTAAGCCCAGAAAGTCATGAAAAGCCAGTCAGATTTTAAAGTATTACTGGTTTTGATTGGATTTTTGTGGTGCCGGTTGCTTTTGTAATGGAGGTTTTCTTCCCAGAACTTGCTCTAGAAGGACACGTACCTAAACTGACTGCAGGCAGGACGCACAGAGTCTTAACACTCAGTTGCTTCAATGTTGGCTTTGGTGCCCTTTTTTTACCATCACTGAAGTCAGCAGTGAACTGACCTCATGATGAGTCTTGGCATTCAAGTGCATTTTATGAGCTCGGAGGTGCTGAATGTGAAGTTTAAGCCAACTAGGCTCGCTCGCTACAATGGGTAAATCCCTGCTYTTTGTGTAACGTTTGACTGCCTGGGTCCCTGAGATGCAATAAAAACTACTGAACTCTATTAGCTTCATATGTGTCTCTGTCTTGAGGAAGCCTGCTTGCTTTTCTTGCTACTGGTGGARTTCACATAACAGGTTTTTAGTGTTTTCTCATCAGGGGTTATAGTCTTGAACGGAAGGATGGAGAAAGGAGAAATGAACCTCCTACCAGTGCATGGAATTAGCCCTTTAATAGAAGCTACTTAGACTTTCTTGTTAAAATTATTGTGTTTTGTTTTCTGCATGCCTCTTGAGCCCTTTCAGAACWTCAAGATCATGAGGTTTGTGTTTCCTCTTCAAATTTTCATTTGCTTGGAGAAATAAACAGTCTGTGTTTGCTTTTCACACGCTCAAAACTGGTCAAATGGGCCACGTAGCAAAGGCTGGCAAATAAGAAGAGGTATAGATACTACAGTAGGTATTCACTGGCAGTAAAAGAAAAGAGCTATTCCATAGGTGAAGGCAACAGAGTGAACARTTTGCCCCAGTTTCAGCCAGCTTTTTCTTTGGTGTCAGACAAAATGCACTCATTAATGTTGTATTGTAGGTGGATTGCAAATCTGAAGATATTACAGAGGAAGGAGCCAGAGTTAGTATATATCCAAGCCTGAAGGGAAGATCTGCTTAATAAATAACGGCTGAGCTTGATGCTGCATTGTAGAAAAGCATAAGGTAAGCCGTGTTTATTTTCGTATCATTACCATTGAATTAAGTCCATCATAAGAAAAGATTTGCCAGGTTATCCCAAACAATGAGCTCAGAGGCCTTTCCGTGGTGCTGACGTGGAAGGACATGTGGTGTTCATCTTGGTAAGCCACGCACACAGATGTACTCAAYAGACTCTGACAATTAGGGAGGCGTGTTTACATTCTAACTTTTAATTACAGTATAAATAAGTTCCCAACTCGTAAACTGATCACAGATAATACACTGCTGTACAAGCTCATAAATACATGCCTGTCACGTTTCTTCAGGCAGGAGAATGACTGTTTTTACCCATCAATAAGGCTCATTTCTACACCCTGCAGAGCTACTCGTAAACCTCCCATGAGAATTTTGTATTTCAAGGAGTTCCTTGAAGGTGTATCCTGAAAATACCCCATATCATCCTCCTCCGTGCCAGGCCATGCCAGGCCTCAGACTCCAATTTGTTTTTTTCTAGTCTGTCTTAGCTGGGACCCTCTTTCAACAGCTCTGCTARCTGTTATTTTCTTCACATTTTTGATTTGAGCATTCGTGGGGAAGACTGGATTTCACTTACTTTAGTTACTGTATGGTTTTGGTAATTTCTCCATGAGTCCTAATGGTTCTAACTGAGGTAACAAGCTGACAACCACCCCTGTGCTCCGTAGCATGATCTCTTACCCTTTCTTTCTCTTCCCGCTTGTCACATCTCTAGCAATACTGAAAAATCTCTAAGGCTTGTGTTTTACAATGCATTCGTACTTGCTGGTCCTCTAGGCACTACTGTAAGTCTAATAAATAAATAATAAATTAAAGATATTGTTAAGATTATTTTGACTCAGTAGCAGAGAAGCGCCTACTCTATAGTATGTGTATGCAAACGTGGAATTTTGGCAAACTCCTGCCACAGTTTGTCCTCTTAATGTAGTAAATATGTGCTAAAATATGTCTAAAGTCCATTTGGTTGGTTGCAAGAGTCCCAGTTTCCCTTGCTCAGCTGCTGTGTTGCTGTGGTGGTCTGTCTGCATGATCACAAAGGTGATGCCCGTGTTGCTGTTTGAGCTTTCTTTTTCCACTGGAAAGGCTTCTTCACCTGCTTCCTCTGGGTACAGGCAAGCCTCGGGCTGTGGAGCAAGTTCCACATTAGCCAGATCTCAGCAACTTTTAGGCTGTGAACTACCATGAGATCTTTGTAAAAACAGGGGTCAAATGTCTGCAGGTGTGGGGCAGCAGAGGGCTTGAGTATGCCGAAGGTCTTGAAGCCTTCGTGCAAAATGGGCTTGAGATTGATTCTCTGTAAGCACATACCCAAAAAGACATCATCAATGGGAAAGAGCTCTACCTCTTTGCAGGCCATGGAGAGCTTCCTCATGGTGTGGCTGGAGAGCAGAAAACCTCCTCCTCCTGCATAGGCTGGGTAGATGCTTAGTCCATACATGGTCTCTGGGATATAGTATTTACTCTTTCGGACACGGATGGGGCGGGCATTGTAGATGATATCCCCAACAAAGAGGTCCTCGGCTGGGTCGTGTCTCTCCAGGAAGTCAACAATGTTCTCTACGTTGACAAAGACGTCAGCGTCACCTTTGAAAATAAATTTCACATTGGAGCAGAATTCAGCAGCCCAGTTGAGAAAATGGATCTCCTTCAGGGTCAAATTGAAGAAAGTATCCATGAAGTCCCAGAGTAAAATGTCCTTGTATGCCTGACTCTCCTGATGGATAAGGGTCTCCCATGTTGCTAACACTGTCTTGTTCTTTGGCGTTCCCAGGAGGAAAACTCGTTGGATCTGCTCCCCGTTCACCAAGCCCTCCCTACCCCAAGTCTTACGGACGATCTCGCGCCTATCAAAGTCTTCAACCACCGATTTGATAGCAATGAGCAGAAAGGGACCTCTGGGTATTTTCCTGCATTTCTTGGGTTGATTAATAAGAATGTTGAAGTTCCTGTTGTCTTTGTTTAGGAGATAAYGCTTGAAGTTGAAGGTAGAATGAGTCAATGGTGGTGAAGTTGTCGTTTGGACCCTGCTACTGGCCACTTCTGCTTGTCTGACCATAGGAATTATCTGGAGGATGGGAACCGTTGTCTCCACTGGCACAAGTCTCTCAGGTGCTTTGAGATCGGAGAAGATTCGCTGTGTTCCTGAAGGTTTCTGAGGTGTCAGCTCCTTGTTTCCTGCTGGGGCCGGGTGCTGTAGCTGGGAATAAAGTAAGGAGCCAAGTGCTACCACCAGGAGAAGGGTACAGATCGCATCCCCTTTGAGCCGTACTTTCATTGTCCCCACACTGTTGCTGGGACTATTAGAAGGTGTGATTGAGCTGCCTGGTGCCAATGTCCATCTGCAAATAAATGCACTGCATGTCAGCCAAGAGGAGTCAACAGCCGTGAAGCAGGTGAGACTAAGGAAAGTCACATTAGAATAAAAATAGCCAGCAAAGTAGGAGGATATTGTCATTTTATTCATGCCAGCACAGAGACAGACTAATGAACTCGCCAAAAGACACGAGTGGTAAATCTAGCAGTGATCCCAGTGCACTGGCTGTGACTTGATTAGCTCTTAAGACACTAAGAAGTCATCCACCCCCCTGCAATACTCTCCTTATATATGAGGCAACGTCAGCCCTTCTTCCCACGCTTCTCTCTGCTGAACGTAATTTGCTATTTCAGAAATTCCAGTACTTTGGGAAAAAATGAGAACAGTGCTATTAGCTTAAAAAGAAAATTAATAATTTTTGAAGCTGAGTAACTGGTTCTTACTCCCTGTACTCTTCTTGAATCGAAACAAATCTGGCTGCTGCAGGGAAGGCTGTGCAACAGCAGGGTGTTCAATTGGCAGCTGCTGCAGCTTTTCCTGCACACAGAGCCAGCACTCAAACTCTGATGATTTATGCCTTCCATATGAATATATTAGGTTCATGCTTGAATGCATGTATGGCCCTTTCTCTGCTAGTAATATTTATTAATATTATACTATCTTAAATGACTTTATGTTGGTCAATAAAGTTAGAACATTGGGTAAGTAAATTGCCCCTGGTCAGTAAGCAAGAAGTGGACAAAGGAAATCCTAATGCACAGAAGCTGTTGTGAAGCAGTGCAGGGATGAGTGTTACTAGGGTTTTATTCACAGGCAAGATGAAGCCACTTTATGAAACGTGAGATTTGATTCCTCACTTACACTTTCCCAGAGATCTTCTGTCTCAGTCAATTCTCGTCTGAAAAAAAAAGAAAAGAAAATTATAAGAAGATAGAAAGCAGCATCTAGAAATAGTCTGTGGAGCCAGCCAGTCGTGTCTAGCTGCACCAAAGACAGATTCTTTAATCTCTGCTGCTCGTGTAGCCACACTGCTTCTCTCAGCTAAGCAACTACCCTAACTCAGCAACTAGGTGGATCAGGAGCAACGTGATGGTCCCTTCAGACCTTCAGGGAAGTGCACTTGTATTTATTTAAGCCTCACATAAGCAGAGGCAGGTTGCACTGCTAATCCCTGCAGCTCTTAGCCAAGAGTGTTATTGTAAAAGATCAGCCTCATTTAGACATAGTTCCTATATATACTCTTATGTGTGCACGGATAGTCTGTTACAATCTCATTGTGATTTACAGATCCATCTTCCCTGTGCTGTATTAGTAGATGTTTGGGTTTTAAAGTATTGCAGTTGTCTGACTTGTCTTTTTGTTTGACTTAGTTGAAAAGACCTTATCCAACAGCTTCCTGAGCCAAGAACATCTGCTTGAACTGCAGCCTGTCTTCACTTGAGGCACACCCAGTGCTTGATGGAAGACTGAAAACGATGGAGCAACCAGCGTATGTGGCTTGCTAGGTACTTGTAACTGTTTTCAGCCTACAGAGCAGGCTCATATAAAATATTTTGCATTTGCACTCCTACTTTGGTGTATGTTTAAGTTACTATTGAAATAGAGAGTATTTCATCATCACGTGGTGTCATTTATGTTTCTTCTAAGTGCAGCTCTAAAGTAGTTATCGACTTAGTCTCCAGGATTACTGAAAATTGCATTGCAGCAAAGGGCTTATTTGTGCATTGGTAGGATTCCTTGTGTTCCACATAAATTCAAAATCACTTCCTCCTTGTCCTCCTGATGACCCTGGATATTTCTCCTCAGATCCACTTCTTTCTTGCTGCTTTTTAGCCTCTAACAGATTTCTGTCTCTCAGGAAGACAAATACTTACTGGTTTGGTTTGATTTTGCTTTTCCATTTGTTAGAATTTTTTTTATTGCAGTTTTTACTTCTCACGTAGGGTATGCAATGTTTATAGTAGGATAGCTTTGATTTTAGTTAGGAAACTGTAGAGTTTTCTTTTTCCCTGGCCTCTCAAGGATGTTTGTGAAAATGCAAGTAATAGGAACTGATTTCTGTTTGTGTGCTTTCTCCACGTGACTTGGAGTGAATATTTTCAGCACTGGGAAAACAGCCTTTTCAAATGTGTAGATACTAGTTTGCTTTTTATATCTGTCATGAGCAAATTAGACTTGGCAAGTCATGATTACTGTGCTCTGTARCAGCCTGCTGTGTCCAGTTTCATGACAGATCACTCCTTATCTGTCAAGTGAAAGTTTACAGCAGGCTTTTCCTCACGTTGCCTTCAAAAACTATTCAGAAGCTCCGGGGATATAAAATGACTCGGTTTGCAGGGATATAAAACGACTAACTCCTGCAGCGAGCCTCACTCACAAGAGGGAGATTTTAGCTCAGTCCTATTCACATGGGTACCTAAAAAAAAAAAAAAAAAGAGGAGGATTTGTCCCAAAAAGTTCACAAGAACCAAAACTGTAGAAATTTTGTCACTTCTACCAAAGCAGCTAAATTAAGCAGCTTTGTCCCCAAAGTGTCCCCAGGGAGCTGCAGATGCTCAGYCCCTCGCAGGGCKCAGCCAGGCAGCCTTGGCATATTTGTGCATATCCAAATGAGCTGATGCCGAGTGCTCTTTACAAACTCTCCTTTCCTTGTCCATTTTCATAGMTCTGTTTGTCTTTGTCTGTCTTTGTCTGTCTGTCCTTGTCTGTCTTTGTCTTTGTCTGTCTGTCTTTCTGAAAGTATCATTTTATCCACTAGACTCCAGATTTTGATTAAGGAGCTGGGTACAGATTTTGGCTCTCTGCTGTATTTAACTGTATCAGCGAGGATCTGGAAGAGAAAGTGCGTGTCATGAAACTCATGATTTCCATGACTTACAGATTTATCCTGCCAGCATCTTGGACTCTGGCAAGAAGCACCCTCAGAAAAGCCAAGAAAAACCCTCAATTGTTACATGCCTGGGCTGGTGGCCCAGATTTTCTTCTGTGCTTTCGTTTATTTGAAAGGAAAGAGTCTGGAATAGTGATTTCTGTCCTAAAGTAAAACCGATTAGTGGTGAATATAGACATCTAGTCTTCAAAAGAAGTTGTGAGCCCTTGAAGTGATGCCTTGGTTGATTCTTCCAGGCAATATCAGATACTTCTGCTATTCTGCTACACCCTCAATTATTGCACGRGTGTCAATATCCCTTGTGGTTGTCAGTGGGGGAAAAGCTCTGTGTCCTCATCCTGAATCAAGAGAGAGATTGAAGGTTCTGGCTGATATTTCCTAGAGCCAGAGGGATTATTCATCCCCCCTCAACATCAGGGGAAAAAAACTTCAGGGCTATCAATGTGAGCAGAGATTATTTGATGCCAAATGAGACCCATGAGGCCAGCAGAGTGTTTCTGAGCAGCTCGCTGGGCTGCTTCCTACGTGGCTGTGATGATGCAGGGAATCTCCGTCCAGCTTGGGCAGTGTAGCCGAGGCTGTAAAGCTGCTGTGTCACTCAGTGCCGTGGTGAACGCGGAGCTGCCTGCCAGGGCTGTCTCCAGCACTTCCCAGGCTAGGAGAAATTGGGCAGTTGTTGCTCATCTCTTGGCTCCCTGACGGTTCCTACAGCAGGGGTCATCACGGCAGAGCCTGAACGGAGAAACCAGATGGAGCGAGTGTGAACAGGACGCTGGAACGAGGGAGCCCAGGCCTGGTGCCAGAAGGTGGAAAAGCGGAGGAGCTGAGAGGTGCTGCTGGAGAAGAGTCGTGTTGTAGTGACTGGGCTGGCAGAGCGAAGCTCGAAGGGAAATCTGGATGTCTCGGTGCTSTCTTGTGCTCCAAAGGCCGCCCACAGCAAAGGTGAGCAGTCTCTTATCTAAAACTGGCTTGATTTTTGTGTCGTTAAGCCAAATTAACTCTGTTACGGTGCCTTTGCTCTGCATCCACCCGTGCCTCCCCATTCCAGGAGCCATCAACACGCCGACAAGGTTCGAGGGCTCAGCAGGTCCAGGAGGTCCCATTTCGGTGCAAGGAGAGGACCCTACAGATGCCTGCAGGCATCGTGCCAGAGAGGTGCCACAGCCTGTTGGGCGCAGGTTGTGATGAATCACACGAGCTGCAGCCCTTTTCAGCTGGACGCGGCAGCCTTGGTGAGCATCCAGCTGAGGGAATTCGACCTGGCTTGTTACACACRTGGGCCAAGGGCCCAGTCCTCCTCCTCCTGGTTTTCATTTCTTTCGGAGGAGGACTCTGAAATACGGCCAAAGAGTGCTGAAATAAAAGCAGCTTAATAACTAATAGAAGTTTGATTGAAAGCAAAAAAAAAAAAAAAAAAGTTAGTCTTTTGGCTGAATGATGCAAAACCTCAAGTTGATACTGGAAACATCCTCCTTTTGCAGCAACCAGGCCATCTCTGTTACTTGGCAGGTGCCACTTCAGCTCTCACTTGTCCACGTGGGAAAAAAATCCTTGGATCCTATTCCTGAAATGAGCCGAGAAGTCTTGAGATCGCTTCGTTTCGAGGAGTGACCATTCAACCCTACTCAGCCTTGGGCAAAGCAGCTGCACTATCTAAACAACCTGAAATGTGGAGCATGGAACTGATCCGATGGGCTCAGCCAGAGCCTCGCTGATCTACGGCAATTAGGAGGCTCTTCTTTTCCAGGCACATCTGAGCCCTGCTTAGTCCTTGTATCCTGATGCATCCCCAAACAGGGAGCTCGTCAGCCGCCCACCCGGAAACTCGCCCGCAGAGCCTCGCTCCCCAGTGTGCAAATATTCCCCCTGGGCGGCAGGGTGGAAAAGAGCTGCCCTTGTTCTCTAGGAACASGATGTCCCGGGAAGAAGGAATTAAATCAGGCGAGTTCAGATAAACTCTGCGGATCCAGCTGTGAGGCAGCGGTTACCGCACGGGGATTTCTGCCGTGTGTGCAGCTTGGCCGGGCTTTCCTTGCAAATCCCTAGGACACGGGCTGAGCACAGAGGGCTGTGAATGCAGGAGGTGCTCTCATGGAGCCCCGTTATCCCTGCAGACCAGTGAGGATAACCCAGTGCTGGCTGCCCTGTGGACAGGTGCTCTGCGAGTGAGCGCAGATCAATCTCCTGATCCTGGTGGGACTGTGATGTGACCTGGATTGATCTCCTGATCCTGGTGGGACTGTGATGTGACCTGGATTGATCTCCTGATCCTGGTGGGACTGGGCTGTGACCTGCCCGCCACAAAAGCCTGGTCTGGGAAGGCTTGGAGCCAAGCTCCTTGGGCAGAAACTGCTTCATAACACCCCGGGGCCCCCAACTCTTGAAAAAACATCTTCATCTCTGTAAGATCTTCACCTCCTTCCCAATTAAGTGATACAGTATGGAATAAGATGCTGAGCTTTACTGTGTAACAGGATGCCAGCAACCGCTATTAGCAAAAGATTAGTTCCAGCTCCAGGGGAGAAATTGGACACGTAAGTCCCAGACTTGCTCATGGGTGACACCGAGGATCGGCTGTGAGCCCCGCTGAGACACGGGCCCCTCTGGGATCGCTCCTCCACTCAGGAGAGCCGGAAGCTTTTCCTTACAAAGCCTTTGCCTGTTAAACCCACGTGCCGTCCCTTGCATCCTGGCTCAAGCAGAGACTACCCAGCCTGCCCGTTTTCCCTGATTTCTGGCCCGTGTAGCTATTTCAGAGTTCCTAGCACTTGAGCAGCCGCTCACGTGAAGCCCTGAGCATGGCCAGGGCCCCGGGAGCGGCAAGCTCCGCTCGTGCCCTCGCCGTTGTCCCGTGCCTGCGGGTGCAACGGGACGAGTGTTTTTGCCAGCCTCCCGGTGCCGGGACAGCCGCCGTCCCCGGCACGGGGCTCAGCCCCACGTCCTCGCYGTGTGGCTCTTGGCTGTGGCCCAAGGGAGGAGCAGCGGCCGGCTCCACGCTCGCCCCAGCCTCCTCCTCCTCCTCCAAGCCTCTCCCGCTTCCCACTTTGCCAGTGGAAACCCTGAGCACCAACGGCGAGAGCCCCGGAGCCGGGAGCGCTTCCCAGGCCGGGCTTGGCCACAGCCTGCGCTCCGGGATGCCCCGCAGAGACCTCTCGGCTCCCACCCTTCATAGTTCTTTCCATCCATCACTGCTTCAGCTGGAGAAAGAAAGCAAGCCCCTGTTTGCTAGCACTGCTCCAGATGGTGCTGCTGTTCCCAGGCCCTGTCCTTTTGCTCTATTTGTGCAGCCGTGAGTCACCATCTCCTCTCACCCTCAGAGAGATCTGGAGAGAACACCGGAGCAAAGGGTTTTGTCCAAGCTTAGCGTTGCAGCTGAGTTAGGCCAGTCCAGCTCTCCTGAAAGCAAGGCCTGGAGTCTGCCTGGCACGGTGCATAACCAGTTCTATTCTCGCGTGGTTTGTTGTATTATTTTTCCCTCCAGGCAAAGCCGAGAACCTCATCCAAGCTGATAAAACGTGGGTGGCCTTGGCACCAGGGTGACTCCTAGCCCCGTGCACCCAAGGGGGCACTCGGAGAGGTYCCGGCTGAAGCGAGGGGGTGACGGAGCAGCGTCGGGCGCCTGGATCTTGCTGCCCGGAGGACAAGCCAGGCTGCGACGCAGGCAACACCCCTGGCACGTTGCTCAGCTCTGGAGCAAAATGGAGCAACAAAAGCAACTTGCTGCGCTGGCGACCAGAGCGAACGGCCCGTCCCRCTCGGCTGTTTCAAAGTCTATAAACCCAGCTGAGAATAAGCTGTAAGATTTGATTAGTAGAGCGTCGTAAAAGAGCTTTCCCAGGCGCCTGGAGCYTGATGCAAGGACAGGGGTGCCCTTGGGCTCTGCCCCAGCCCCGCACAGAGCAGAGCCCGTGTGCCTGTACTGCAGCAAGCCAACGAGGAAGCTCTGCTAGCCGAAGCCCTGCACAAACAGGTAACAAACGTGGCACTGCTTGCTCCAAACACCTCTTCCAGCTTTCCTGTCCAAACTGCTGCCCGGGCCAGTACAAACGAATACCTTAGATCCGCGCTGGTACAGGGGGGTGGCCAGACATGAGGATGACTTATTTCTTATGGATCTCTCTGTCTGCACCAGGCCCTGAATCCYCAATTCCATTCGCTTCCCAGCTGGCTTGCCCCGTGTCATGACAAAGTCTCTCCTGTCTGCTCTTGGCTCGCCCAGGCTGGGCTTTGCACCGCCAGGCGCAGGTTAAACGACTGCCTGCAGACTGGGCGGCCTCCTGCCAGACTCCGGAGGCATCTGGGCAGACAGGGCTTTTGCAAAGCGTGAATCCTGAAATCTGAGGAGCTGCTGGTTTCCAGGCGCTCTGCATGGAGGCTGCTGTTCCCCACAAGGTAAGAGGTGGGAACGAGCACTGAGGTTGCTCGGGTGTAGGACCCGAGTGGGTCATCTCCTAAATCCAGACACAGGCTTGCGTGGAGACATCCCGATTTCCAGGACTATTGAGTATTCAGCAGCTTTTAACCCGGTATTTTGGGGAGACAGAYCTTGTGGGTGCTGCTGCGTGCGGCACGAGGAGCCTGCCCCTCTTTTGCAAACTTGTTTCCTGTGAGACCCCAAAAGGGGGAAAAACCCTTGCATCCTAGGGAAGGCGTAAAGCCCTCCATTCCCTGGACCTCCCCGTCCGCAGGTCTCACTGCCGATCCGATAAATTGGCAACCCTATGAATTTGCTTACATGCCACTAAAAAAAACTCTTTTAATTAAAATGTATTTAATTAAAATATGTGCAGTTAAAATACATTAACATGGAGGTTTCGTTATTCCCAGGCATGAATATACAAGAAGGAATTCATTCTGCATCTCCCCACTCATTTTGAGCTGGCACCAGAGGTATAAATCTRTTGGAATCCGACTGAAAGTTGTTTAGAAGTTGTGATAAATCACTTCTAATTCCTTGGATTTCTGATTTCCCTGGAGCTGAACCATTTTCCTTCTTTTTTACTAAGCTATACTTAAAAATCCCTATGTCTAYTGTTTAAAGCACGCAGCAGTGTAACTCAGGGGGAAGAATCCCATCCCTTTCGCGGAGCCTCTTGCAGCGCAAGGAGAAACTCTGCCCTGCACTGGAGCCGCCCGTGCAGGAGCCCCAGAGCCCTTCCCGGACAGCAAAGCAGCATTAAAGCATGCAGAGCAAGYTCCTGGCAAAGCGGGATAGAAGCGGCACGTAGCGGGCCGGGAGCCGCCGATGCCGAGCCCGCGCCTGGCCGCGCTGCACGCGAGCGGCCGCGATCCGGATGGGAACCGGATCCTGGGTGGGAACCACCCAGATCCCTCTCGCGGCGCCACGCCAGCCCAGCAGAACTGGGATGCGGGCTGGAGGGGAAGGCCAGCGGGGCGCTGGAAAAGCCCCCGGCTCGCAGCGGAGCCGCGCGCGGCGCTTCGCTCGGTACTCACACGCGGAGCGGCTCCGGGCGGGCGATGCTGGAGCTCGGCTCCGTGGGACATTCCCCCACGGGTCCCCCGTGCCGGCGGACTCGGCGCGAGGGCGAGAGCCAGGCTGGGGGACGGAGCTGGGCTCCAGCCCAAGCGCCGTCATGTGACGCCGCCCGCTCCCGCGCTCCGGGTCCCGGGAAAGCGCCGGAGCCGGGATGGAGCTTCCCCAGCTCCCACTAGCGCCCGCTGGGCTAAAGCGAAGCTGGGGGCCTGTAGGGGTTAAAAAGAACGATGACAAAAAAGGCAATGGTTTCATCGGGGCTTTTCTCCTTCTTTCTTAACAGGAAATGCACTGGTTTTTCTGGCCTCGCCATCAAAACGATTCGCGATCCTCTCTGTCGAGCTGATCTGAGTGTCRCTTTTGATCCACACCTTGCATCAAGCAAACACTATTTTTTTGTAAGTATCAGTGATTTTCCTAAGTCTGCTTTTAGTTGCAGACCCCGCGCTCCGTTCTGCTCCGTCCCACCGTTGCCGTGATCCGCAGTTTCCCGCTGGAGCCCCCAGAGCCTCTTCCCGGCGGGCAGAGCAATTTCCTTCTCAGCTGTAGCTGCCTGAAACGGAGCTGCTGCCTGCCAAGTAACGCGGCCCTTCAAAACCCTCGGCCTGATGCTTTCCCTCTGGGGACCAAAGGGAACTTTTCTCTTTATATCCGCAGCAGCCCCAGGCTGCTTTTCATTCCTTCTCCCTAAGGAGGCAGATGGAGATCCTGGAGCGCCGCASTGTCGCCAGATGCTTTGCCAGGTTTTGGTGTGGAAGGTCTAGCCCTGCAGAGAGGACAACTGAGGTTCCCAGCACCCCCATCCCACACAGCATCACGCAGCAGGTATTTCCACCGGGTTTTCTGACCCGGCTTTGGGACCTTCTTACCCTTCTGCTCGCTGGTGAAGGTGAACATGGGGCTTCCCGTGACACATTCCCAGTCCCGATGCAAAGTTCCACCTGCTGCTGACACAAGGGCAAGAGGTGATGGCAAATTCTGTGATCAGGACAGGTGCAAAAGARGGACCCTCAGCAGGGATTGGAGCTGCAGCTTTGACTCAATCTACTTTTTAAAAAACAGAAGCCCCCCAGGATGGAGACAGAGAGACTTCATGCACGTCCCAGCCACAGCACAAGTTTCAGGTCGCGTTTGTGCTATATGAGCCAACAGAGAATCCAAGCACAAGCCGTGACCCGTCCAGGAACTGGGTGTTTTGGGGTTTGGATGCTAAACTTGAGACTTGCTGAACCCTCCCCAACGGGGCCCAGGGTGATTTTTGACCACAGCAGAGCAAGGAGCTTCAGGAGGCCTCCTTCAGAGCACCCCACTGCGCTGCATGACTCAGTTGCATCTAGTGGGCTTTCAAGAGGGCTTTGGTGAAGCCCTTTTCTACTTACTGCTGCATTAGCGCTGAAATAAGAAAGTCTGAGGCACTTTTCATCAAAAGTATATATTTATTCATAGAAAGTTTGGAAGAAAAATGAATCAAAGTGCTTTCTTATATAAAAGATAGTTCCCTGGAAGGTGAGTATCCTAGACCTGAGTATACGTGATGCTGCAGTCCATAGCTGTAGATGGCTGATCCAGACCTGATGCTGAATATCATGGAAATTTGGAATTAAAAGGTCAGCAAGGGATTTTTCCACTGATGACTAAGGGAATTAACCACAGGTCTCCTACTGATTTAAATAGGAGATGTATGGCCAAATCCCTTTGCCCAGTTCAATCCAGAGATGAAAAACTACACATTTTGACTCCAGACCTGAAATTATCTCAAAGTTTGGGCCCATCTCAGAAAAAAAAAAAAAAAGAAAAAAGACAAAAAAAAGACAGAGCTTTGCCTGGTGTGGAGCGCTGTGGCTCACTGATTCCACTTGTGCTCCCCAGGCATGCAGGTTGCACTGATGAAACCCTCTCGACTCCCATTCTAATATTCCCTTGTTTCTAGGTGTAAAATATCAGCAGTTCATGGCTGYGAGAGATTTTCAAATCTTGGCCATGGAGCAAAGTATATTCATTTTTTTCTTTTTGAATTTTGAAGGAAGCTTTCTAGCTTTCTAGAAGGAAGCTTTCATAGCTTTCTAGCTATGAAGCTCCAGCAAACTCTCTTTTACTTAGAGGCTCACATTTTTCATAAAGGTTTGAGACCCCAAATGCTATGACATTAGCACCCTGGCTTGCATTAGAAGTAGGCTAGATAGGTGTGTCTTCAGTGGCAGGCGTGAAATTGCAAAAATTGCAAAATGTGAAGCTTGGAGTGTTGCTGCAATTGTCACTCAATGTTATTTTCTGATTTGACCTGCCATTGCAGTCTGTATGGAAATTTTAGTATTTAATTTGAGTGAAGTCTTTAAGCTTTATGACTTCTTTAAGACTCTTTTAGAACGTACTTGTACCACTTGTTTTTAAGTGGTTCAGAACAATAATCTGACACCTCTCCTTTATTTTTAAGCTGTGCAGAGCTTTGGGATGACACATCCTTTGCAGATGGTTGTGGTGTGCGCGACGTGAAGCTGCTGCAAGGGGACATCTCTCCTATCACTATCGTTCATGAAGCCTCTGYGATGGTGCCAGCTCCTCTTCCACCAGGTAGATTGGTGTGTTTTTAACAAGCACCTAGGAGGGCTTAGGTCAGGCTTTCCTYAAACTGCTCTCCGGGGCAGTTTGATATTTTCCTGCATGACCATTTGAGGTCAGGATGTTCGCTTGGGTTTACTTCTAGCAGATGCCTCATGTCAAAGAATAAATGGTGGTGATTTCAACTTTTGCTCTCCTCTGTTATCATCCACTTGAACGCTGCAGCTCAGCTGTGCCAGAACAAGCCTCTCCAAGTCGTGCCTGGATAGGTCACTTATTCCTTCTGGCAGACTGAAAAGAGCCTGTTTCAAATGTGAAACACTGCTAAAGCTACAAAAACAATCTGCACCRCAGAGAGAGCCCTCTTGGATCCCATTCTGCAAATTCATTTTGGCCTGGCTCTGCTATTTTGCTTTATATTTTGTCTGTTGAATTTTTCATCCACAACTGATTAATGTCTTCATTTGCTTCTAATATTGCATACTATTTTATAGCGTGTTTGACTTCTGCTCCCCACCCCTGCAAAAAAAATCCCTCAGAGATAGAGAAGAGCTGTTAAGGGATAAGGCCACATTCAGCAGGGGTGTTAATTGTGTCCGTCTCGCCCACTAGACATGAGCTAATCCATGTAAACAGCAGCACGGGAGAGCATCATTTGTACGTCTCTAGCATCCGAGTAGTGCAGTCCATGTGCAGCTAACAGTCACGGGAAGGAGGGAAGCAAACTGGGGAGTGCAGGCAGCCCCAGCACGCTCCTGTGCTCAGCAGTGACAGCGTGACAGCACGTGTCACCCTGGAGCACCTACTTGTGCTTGTGCACAGTGCTGACTTTCTGGTTTCTATCAAAGGAGCTTCCCCACACGCTTAACTCTTTCTCCAGTTCCATTCATTGCATTGATGTTGGAGGTAGGTGTCCCACTCGTTTCCTCAGGTCGCTGCAAATGGATTTGCCTTTGAGGGTGTCTCTTTCTGTCCTTCATGCTGTAGATTGCCTTTGCACACAGGAGGAAAACTGCCATAAAATCCTCTGGGTACAACAGATATAAATTCAGAGTCGAGACTCGCCCAGATGCCAAATGAATGCAAATGATACTGTGTGCTCACTCCACCGTGTATCTGATTTTACCCTAGGGCTTCTGTGAAGACTCTCTCTGCTGTATTTGTKCCAGCACTACAAAGATGAAACCAACTGTTTAATGAGGGAGGAGCCCACCTGAAAGCAGGATTGAACTTCCATTGCATCCAACGTATGGCCGTGGATGATAACTCATCACTGAAAAGAAGGTATGAAACAGCCACTGCTATTATCCTAAACCATACTGGGTGCTTTAGACAATTCCACTACGGAATATCACTGGAAAACCCTTATCCTTCGTCTGTGTGCCATGAAAGCCCCTGTGAATGCTGTTAAAGATGCCGATGTTCCAGAAAAGTTGCCAGGAGCTGCTGCACTTAATGGCACTTTTGAGAAGGAATCTGTGAGTCAGAGGAAACACACATGCCAGTTGCTTGCAGAGGAATAAAATGCACAAGGTTTGCATTAAAAAATAATAATAATAATTCATAGTCCTCTCTAAAACTAATAGGCTGAGATTTTTTTTCACTTATAGTAGATGCTGAATAATAAGCATTTCTCRCTGTGAGCACCAACAGATGATAAAAAATCTAACAGTTTTCACCACTGAGTGGCTGCCTTCTGACTGTATGTGAATGTTGTACACATGAATAGCGATAGCCTGAGAACTTAGCCTATTGTGACATTTATAAAGAATATTTCTATGCGTATGATCCTGCACTCTAAAAATCATTTTTGTAAAATCAAGAGTAAACCCTCTTGGCCCTTGAAAAGTAACTTTCAAGTTTCTAATATTTTACAAAATATGCCTTTACCAGAAGACTTGCTGGCAAATAGAGCTCTCTGGGCATAATGTGATATGGTTCCACAGCAGCCTAAAATAATTATCATCAGCATTGCCATGGTCCCAAATACCTGCTTCCCTTGGAGGACAGCACTGGAGCTGCTGGAAGAGGGAGATAGGATGTGGACCAGGACTGGGGGAAATGAGACTACAACACCAACTTAAAATGCCTTAATAAAATGCCATGGGACCACACTCTTTGTGGATTGAAGTCCTGTTGCCTTTGGAAATAAGGGCAAGATGGGACCAGGTAGCTTGAAAACGTTCTCTCTGTCCTTTGATKCTTCCTATTTCCTACCCCACTGTGTCCGTAACCTCCAAGGTCTGCAGTCAAATGCCAGACTCCTCAGGCTCACATTGAGGAGCTTGAGTTTCAGCTCATTTGAGGCATGTGGGCTCAGATTTGGTAAAAATTGGCCATCTGAATCCCTCAATCCGCATCTTAGATTAACTACTGTTCTGAACGCTCATCTGAATCCAGGGATTTTCACCCTGGATTCCACCTCACCAACTCACAGCTTTGTCTCTAGTGAAGG